TGGTGCTGCCCCGCTCCCCATATGCTTTGTTGAAGCCACCTGAGTTGTGCAGTTGGTCAGGCAGGGCAGCAGCAAGGGTCATTATGTGCCACCAAGTTTTTTGAAGGGTTTTTTTCACCTTTATCTTGTCAGGTTTTATGCTGCTGTTTTTCTGATGCTGTTTCTTGCTGAGGCTTGGTGTAGACAGTAGATCGATGCCAAAGCCAGTAGGGTGATGGAGGGAGGAAGAGCCTCCAGCAAAGCAGCCGCCTCATGGCTCCCAAGAGGGTGAGTCAAGCACAGGTAGCAGGGAGGGGTGCAGCCTTGCTGGAGGTTCTGCCTGCTAGAGGCAGTTTACAATAGATGGTTTGGGAACAGGCTGCAAATATAACAGTCCGTTTTCCCAAAGCAAACCCCAGTGCCTCCAGCACAGCCCTGGGAAGGCTGTCCTCTGCTTGAGTTGCTGTGAGCAGGAATACATTAAGGACTGCGAGCTTCTCAGGTACAATGGTAATGGGAGCCATCCATGAGCTATAAATAGCCTTAACATCCTTTCTCTCCAATGCCTGGCATCCCAAGCAGTCGTTTTTGCTGGTGCTAGTGAAAATGAATAAAGCTTTGAACAGCTTTTATTTATGTTCTCTTTGCAGGCTGGAATTTTGTGAGTAGTTCTTCTCACTGGCTTTGAATTTAGAGTTTATTTTAAGGAGAAATATTGGCATTTTCTCCTTTGGGATTTTTTTTCCTTTTTTAATTATCATACATTACTTTCACATTTTTAGCAAAACTATGTGGGGAAAGCTATTGTGACAGGAGAGTGCAGATCACAGATAGTCATTTACAAAGAACCTCAGTGTGATTGCAGGAAAAGGGGGAAAAAACCCAACCTAACAGAAACCATAATTTAATCTTATCTAAATCTTACATACCTTTTTAACAAAATACTGTCAATATTTTGTTTTCAAATTAAGCCAATAATGCAAGATGCTTTGCTTGATTTGTGGTGTTTACATTGACAGATTAGAATGAAATAGTTGTTGCAGTAGAAGGAAAAACTTTACGTGCCTATCAGACAAGTCTTCCTATGGTTTCATAGGAAACAAAGATGTCTTCTGTCAAGGAGCTATAAAAGCCAAGAGCAAAACTGGCAAAAAGGACTCTTTTAAAAATATTTAGTATATACTTGATGAAGTGCTGTTATTAAACAATAAAGTCTCACATGTTATGCAACTCTCATTGCTGCTACAGACATTCAAGAAACACAAAGTCTACAAAACAGACATTTTGCCCTGGGATAACCCCGGCTACTAGATCAACTGGTAGAGCTGGAAGAATTAGGCAAGCTTTCAAATAAGCAAGAAGGGCTCTATTTTTTTCCAATTATGTCAACTGATCTAATTATACACTGCCTTTACTGACAACCCTTTCCTTAGACCAGCACAGCAACCCTGTTACTGAAACGCTGTGATTTTTCATATTGCCAGAAGATGGCAGAAGAAAGCAATCTTGAATGATTTGAAAATACACAATATTCCCATGACTCTCTTTTAGAGAGCTGTTACTGATACACAAGAAACTGCACTGACTGGATGGATGAAAAATGTGAAATGTACTGTATGAGTTAAATTGGTACTTAACTTGTGTACATCAAATTATCTACAATAATCAGACAGGTCAGAGGCTTTGAGTTAACCAAAGTCTTTACTCCTCCTCCCCATCCCAAGTGATGTTTCCCTTGTATCCTTCTAAAAAATAAAACTGAAGAAAACTGGAAAAGTTTATTGGGCATCAGTGAAAATTATCAAGCACTTATTAGCCAGTAGGAGTTTTTAATGAGTTTTTTACTAAGACTAGATCTTCTGTCCTTTCTGCAGAAATGAAAAGCATCATGAGTTTTAGGAAATAGCTAATCTATTGAGGGCCAAAATCTGGAAGATAAGCAGGGGAAGAATCACTCTAAAGTTCTTTTGTTTCTTACGCTGTCTTCTCCTAGACTCTGCTCTGGGCCGATGGAGAATGACTGACTAGCCATACCTTCAGGTCTAACCCGCCTTGGCACCTTTTCCACCTGTCTTATGAATGAGGTGCCCACAATATCCATTACTAAATACTGAATAAAACATGGGCACCAAACATGCAGCATCTGCTTCCCAGGCTGGGAATAAGTTTGTCACTATGACCCAAGATTCATTCAGTGGCAGCAAGGAGGAGGATGACAAGGGCTCAGGAGTGAAGAAGCAGAAGAAAAATGTTTAAAGCAAATTTCCACTGTTGTGACAATGAGAAAAAGCAACTGACAATATGGACAACCATCACCTGGGCAGGAACACCCCTGCCTCATGAGATGATGCTAACACAGACCTCAGTGCCCTCACATCTTTCCCCTCAGGATTCTGATCCTACTAGATTTTTTAAGGTATTGTTCCTTATATTGCTTCTTTTGGTAAAATGACTTTGTTCCTAGCTTGGTTCTGTGGTTGGCATCTTATAATGAAAGCGAGTGATGGAAGCTCTGTGGCTGCTGAGAGCACCATAAGAGCACTGCCAGCTTCCAGGAGCTTTCTTTTGTCCTTTGGCTGCCCACCTCTGAGTTACAGGGTCCCACCTACCATTCAGAAGTAGATTAAGCCTTCCTGAAAATGAACAGCTTTAACAGAGCACAAAATTACTTTGAATCTGCCTCATGCAGACATCCTACAACCGGGGTCCTTTTGGTGGGCTTCCAACAACTGAGGTTGTTGCACCTCGAGGGTATGCTTAATCCTGCTCTGGACCTGAGGTGAGCAAGCACATACCCTTTACACATTGAGGTTTTAGTAGGTATGTCTATAGGGGAGAAACAGATCTCTATAGACATCTGTTCCCCTTCCATGCTTGAAAGAAAAATCCTCTCCTTTCAGCACTGAAGCATTAACTTCAGATGTTAATTTGCCATCTTTTTTAGTGAAGGCAATAGTGAGAAACAGTTCAGCACAGGTAGTTTATCCCCAAAACAAAGGCAAATCAGGGCTGTCTAGGAATTTGAAAACTCTAAGGGGAAAGGATTTTATAGAGTTTTCTGTTTCTGTTCTATTGAGTGAAGTGTATATACCTGAGAGGGGAAAAGCATATGTGCAGGTGAGCTCAGAAGGGAGGAAGCTCCTGCACAGCTGAGACAATCGCAGTTGTGGTGCTGGGTCAGATATTGAGAGGACTACACTGAACTCTGCTCTTCTGCTGCTGACTCTTGACCATTGCCACAAGTAAGGCCTGAGGCTGAGTGGATCAGTCCTAACCCCAAAGATCAAATCTGGTCTGAAATGCAGGAGCTCAGAGCTAGGTCAGCTCAGTTGGGGCCTTTTCTCTATTACTGGGACTGTCAGACACAGGAAGGTGCTTACTGACTATTGGAAGAGAAAAATGTGCCACAGAGCTGAGGTGCTTTCTTATCCTGACTTACTAAATGCCTGTCCCACTTTCTTCACCCTTGGTGACAGCAGACTGTGCTAGGGGCTGCTGATCACACCTGTCCTAGATTCATAAACAAATGTGATCACCAAATAGCTCCATCTCCTCCCTCTGTTAGCTTAAGCATCCTGTTGATGAATCACAAACTGGGTGATGACTGGTAAGACCTCTATGGTTAAAAATTCAGACTCCCTCTGCTAGCAGCAGTGCTGGCATGGTGGCAAGGCTCTTTTCACACACACACCTCCTGCCTTCTGCTCAGTTACATCTCCTCCACGCAGGATGCTGCATCTTGACTTTACAGCTCCTCTGCATGGCTACTACGCATGCTTTCACAGCAGGATCTATCAGCACCAACCAGCCCCCCTTGCAGAGACCTGAAATCCAGCCACCTTTTGGCACTAGAATGCATCCTGCTACCCCCAGAGGAAACAGGGATAAAACCTTGGCCAAAGAGAGAATCGTGAGAGCAGAGCTAAGGATACGACTTTCTAAATGTTTCTCTTCAGTCTGTATTTGATGTCTGGATAATAAAGTGACCAGTCTCTTACAGAAACCTGAGGCAGGTTAAACACCACAGAGGAAAACAGCGGTGGTCCTGAGCTAGAGGACAGAGGATGTGCAGGACCTCACCACTCCCCACTTGTGACCTCTGTGGCTCAGGATTTCAGGCAGTGTCTCTTCCTAAGCCCTTCAGATCTGTTATTTAAGTATGGTCAATACAGCTGCACCTCTTTTTTATTTCTAAAAAGAATGGCTTTCCCTTTGTACTGTTTGCATTTTGTCATGCTGCTTTGGTTCACTCACCATTTTCCTGAGTTTAGTAAAGAAGCTGTCTGTGAAAATAAGAACGGAAAAAAAGAAAATTATCAAAGACTTTCTTTTTTATATATGGGGAAGAGATTTTTCAAAGGCAGAAAGGGGAGTCTATCAGGTTATGCACCTAAGTACTATTTATGCCCTTGAAAATCTTTCGCTTACAGTGCTTAATTGGTCTGTGCAAATCCATTGCCAGAAGAGGTAATTGGCCATTTTTATAGAAGGATCAGTAACAAAAACTCTCCAGGCTATTGTTCTCAAAATTAAAAAAAAATTAGGAATTATGGAAAGAATATGTTTCAGGGCATCAGCCAGCCTCTCCTGAAACTATGCAAATTCACTGGGTGAAAACAACAGCAGACACAATGAAACGAGTTGTATATGAAGAACTGAGATCTCAAATGTGATATTATGCAGAAGGTAAAGAGCCTGTACTAGATAAGTAACAGCTCAATGTGTTATCAAGGGTGCAGTTTGATTTTGATGAATGTTAAAAGAACCTTTAGCCTTGAAAATAAAGAGGATAATTTCTCTCTAGGCAATGGCTGCTCATGAAAGTCATAAAATAAGAGCACTGGAGCCCTAATTTTATAGTGCTTTTTAAATGATTTTCAAATGGTCCAGCTGCTTTGTGCCACAATAACACAAGGCAGAGATATTTACGCCGGCGATAACAAGCATGCATCAGCCTGCCTGAGCTGCTCTCCGCAGGCAGCCTGCGTTAGGCGAAACACACATGGAAAGCTGGTACTTGCCAATGCAGATTGATCACAATTACACCGTGGCTACAGCGATCCTGGGAAGCTGCTTTTTCCACCAGACAACTTGATTGTTTTTCTTGTCTGTGTCTCGCCTGCGAAGCACAGGATGTACGTGGCTGGCAGTGCTGGTTCTATTTTGACACTTGGGAGCCTGCCAGCTCTGTATGCCTCTTAGGCCATACCGTCCTTGGCAGACTTCTCTGTTCGGAAATAGGCGGGCGAATTCAGCCCTGGGTTACACCACTGGTTTTGGTGGGGGTTTCTCCAGGGATTAATATGGCCCCAACATTGGTGTTCCGATGCTGCACTGTGTTATCTTGCACAGAAATGCATGCATGCTGCAAATGAGCTCTGGGCAAATGATACATAGTTCCACTGAGATGCTGGAATTGCCACCAGCATCTTTCCCCGGGTATTTTACTTCTGCATATCCAGGATTTAAGTCTAAAACTACAATTTGTTTTCCAAGACCTGCTCTAAGATGGGAACTACCCAAGGGCGGTCCATCTTAGCTTATCAATTTGGGTAGTAATTTCAGAAGTCTGATTGGTATTTTATCTTGGCAGTCCCCTTTCCTTTGTGAGACATTGACAGAAGACAGGGTACTGGGAAAAAACTTGTCTTCTAAGCAAGTAGGATAGGGTTGAAAGGCCAGTTCCTTTAAGAAATATTCCTATAGAAGTAAAGAACTCAGCTCTTTCTGTGTTCATTAGCACTGCAGACACAGCACTGTTTTTGTAAAGAAAATTTCGGTTGGAATGGGGAATTCTGAGCATGAAAAGAAGGCTTATTTATGGTTGTAAATGTATTATGTTTGCTGTAAATCTCCAGTCCATGAAGCTAAGATAGAGCTGGGCAGAGGCCACAGTGGGACAAATGTTCCTCTGGAAAGTACGTGGCCATTGAGCATATATCACTCAGGTGGAGAATTCTGTCCCCAAACTGGGACTTCTTGAACATGTTGGACTTCAACTCACCTTTTCATTTGCTGATCCCAGTGCAGAAAAAAAAGGTTAGCATCTTTTTATGTCCAGGAATATCATTAAGAGCTTTAACTTTAAACAGGGGCTTATTTTCTTTTGGAGTTGAGTTTTATGAGTTTTCATGAGCAGAATGGACAACAAACTGGGAATGTATCCTAGAGGAGTATCTAGCACATTTGCTGCCACTCTTTATAACCAAATGATTGAGTGATTGAAGTATACAAAATTCAGAAATCCTCTACCTGGAGGAGAAACACATAGGTTTGATGCCAAAGCATGTTCCTTTCATCTTTATGTCATATTCAGAGATGAAGATGTTTCTTCCTGTCACTTTTGATCTTTTTTTATCTTTACATAGGTGTATACTATATCTCAGTTCAATATCTAAATCCTGCAGGTGTTTCAGGAACACTCAGCTTGATGAAATTGCTCACTACTGGATAACTCTTTGGATAGCATTGCCCAGAGGAAAGTGACAAAAGATCATAAGGTAAGACAGCACAAGGGAAGCAGATCTACTTTTTCCAAGAATACAGTGAACAAAGATTTTCCCTTCAAAATATAAATGAATACATGTAGTGCTGTTCCAGGCTGCAAGGAATAGTGCCATGGTCACAGATTGCATACATTTGTACTTCTGCCTCTCTCACATCTCATCTCATCTCTGAGAGATCCAATTTACGGCAGCTGAGATAAAGTAGCCTCCAGGGTATTACATTCATCCCTTTCATAAATCAAGAACCACTTTCTGTTACTAGAGATCTGAGTCCAAAAAGAGAGGGAAACACATGGCATTAGGCTTTGTAAATGGCCAATTGGCATGTCTCCATGATAGCTCTTTGCAACTTTTGGCTGTTTCTCAAACCAGAAAGTAACATTTTTGTGTTGTGTGTTCTGATGAATCAATACAGAAAAACTTTAAAGAATCAGAACCTTTCTCCCCACTCACCAAATACAGCATCATTCCCTTTTAGAGTTATTTTTTTTTCTCTCCTTTTCTCTCCTGCTACAGAAGATGTACTCTGATGATTACCAGTAGACCATGTGTGATCCTTGCCACTGATGTGGATATAGTTTTGTGGGTTACTCCTAATCTTTCAGGATCCTGCTCCACCTGTCAATGGAGACAATGTCTGTAAGTAGATAATTAGGCTTACCCAAGTGGTTGAGTGAGGTTCAGTTAATGTTGCTAAAGTAACTTGAGATCGCTTAATGAAAGAGCTTCATAAGAGCAGTGGCTTACCACCAGAAGGACTCACCATTTGGCCTTGTGAATGTACTCACAGGTGGTACAGAAATGTATGCCGAGATGAAAGTTGATCAAGTCCTCTGCAGCTATTCCATAATAATGCATTTCCTGGCCACAGACAGTTTAGTCTCCTTTGCTTCCCCATGCAAAATGTGCACCATTCAGTGCATGGGTGACACCAAGCCTCTTTGGATCTTCCTTATTATGGGCTATGGAGCTGTGGAAAGTCATATACAAAAGCTCATGACAAAAACCAATTCAACGTACCTTGTTGCATTGTAATGTATTCCTGTCTGCAGAGCCCAGTGCCCGCCATGCTTTGAGACGTGTTGTGTGTGAAAGAGTAATGTAGTAAAAGAAATGCAAAAGGTTGTGATTTCTGATTATACTCAAAATAGATGCAGAAAATGCAGCATTCTAAGTCATTTTACTTCTGCAAAGACATTTTCCTGCCTATAACTTCCTGTAAATTTAACAGGTGTTACAGGCTCCATTTGACTACAAAGGCATTGGGAATTATGGGCCCAAACACTTTACAAAAATTCACTTCATGAGGTAGCTCAGGTCCTCCTATAATTGGACTTGAAATATGTACATGGAAAGAACACACTCAGGTTTTAACATAGCCTGTAACCATTTTGCCTCAGCCTGTAACTGTACGATGTTCCTTTGCTCGAGAGGTATTAGCCTGGCTAATCTGGCTAAACTCCCGCTGATAAACCTGCCTGCTTAAAATTCAGCATGAAGTTTGATTTCTGCAAGATATTTTACACCTTGTGTCCTCAGCTGCTTATTATGTAGCACTTTAAAAAATATTTTACCTTTCAACCCAAAGGGTCTTGGCCTTGGCCTTGTGTATCAGCAATGACTGATAGCCAGACAAATATTTAATAATCAATTTGTTGACCACTTCAAAGTCCTCCAGGATGAAAGACATCATGTAAAGTCAGACATCCCTACTTTATTTTTCTAGAGATATTTAATTCATTTAAAGAGGCTGACCGTTAAATTTCTGATGAGAGTCATAAGGAGAAATATTTCTTATAAAATACAGTTTTATTCTAGATTGATCTTTAATTTCCAAGTAGCTCCTCAGAAGCTGCACATAATTGGTTCCACAGAAATAAGCAGTGACAGTCTATGGTACTGCTTCAGGTTATTTTAGCTATGGCAGAAGTCCTGATGCTGGCATGGGTTAGCTCAGTAACAGAAACCTCCTCTGTTTATTGACTTCATTGGGTTGGCCCTAAATGTAAATACTCTCTCTATTCCCCATTTCCACCTCAGGAAGATTCCATGAAACCTTATTCTCAGGTGTTGTTCATATTTGTCTTATTGATATTGGCAGAATAAAGAAAATTCTATCTATAGCACTTGATAGTCTTCCAGTTTCACTGATTGCAGTCCGTAACTGTCTGTATTTAAGTTCAATATTAGTGATCAGCTGTTGCAGTAATTGCAAACAAACCTGTTTACATTTTTATCCCTGTTAGCTGAATGTTCTCACAGTTCATGTTTTCCTTGCTACATGTACACACTGTTGTTATCTATGCCTTTTTTTCCCACCATTCATTTTTTTTCCCCAAGAGACAGAATTTGACTGCAAATAAACATGCAAGAATAATTTGTAGTATATATACTTACAGGCATTCAAAGGAGATCTTAGAAGAATATCTAAAATCCAATGATGGTGTTAAGACAATACAATTTCAGTGATTTTTATAGAGTCTTAAATCTTTGCTTTTACTACCTGTTGAGCTCAATTCTGCAAATCCTTATTTCTCCAAATGGTTCTAATAAAGTAAAAAAGTTAATTTCCAAGTATGGTTACGAGGTTTAACTGGGAAGGCAAAGGTTGGTTTCCCACTCTCATCACCACGGCAGTTCAGTGCAGTACTACATGTTGTAGGGGCTTCTGCCTTCCCATAGCCAGGGCTGGACCAGCACTACCATGTTACTGGGTGCCCACCAGTGGGCAGCCACCCACTGTGCACAGGACTTATCTGCAGGGTATCACCTACTGATTAGAAATTAAGTGAGATTAAGAAGCAGGCTGCAATTTGTAATCTGTGTTTACAAAACCTGTTTTTATTTACCAACGTCATCTAGTTCATTTTTAGGCTTTCCTTTTTCATAGCTAAAAGAATGTCCACTTTTAGCTGTAATCAATGGGCAATTAGTCAAAGGATTGTTAGTTCCTCCTGCTTCTCTCATTTAAGAATTATTGTAATTGTACTTTCCAGATATTTCTAGAAGTTTGCAACTTGCTGGTGGTGGAAAGAACTTGTTTTGGCATAACACTGGGCGCTAGGCATGTTGAATGTAGATGACTGCGTGCTTTCTCCACACTCCAGAGTGAAACAGCCATCCACAAAAGTTTGAGAAATAAACAGTGAAGTCTGCTGTCATTCAGAATATCCATATTTTTTGTCAGAAATTTCAACTGCAAATCAAGCTGTCATACAAACAGCAAAAATTAGAATACTTTTTATTGTGTGAAAATTTCCATTCTAGTTAAAATTAAAGCGGAAAAGGTAAAAACCAATCATAGTTCTATTTTAAGGCTACTCAGGATCATGAGTCTGTCTTATGCTTTATATGGTAAATGTTGCAGCATTTATAAAATCTATATGTTGAATAATTATAAAATTATGCAAAGCAACAAAGAGAGTCTTGTTCCCTTTTTAATTAATTTTATTCTGTTCTGTAGGTTTTTTTCTTTAATGGATAGTCCTTTTGCTTTCTTCTGTGCTAATCTTAAGTCTATTTTAAGGCAATGAAGTTTAACAACGCTAACTAAATAAAGTAGTTGGACAGTTTATGTTAACAAGTACTGTATTCCCCAGCCCTTCTGAACAGCTCAGCCTCAAATAACACTTACATATCACCTATGTAAAGATTAGGCCACTCTTCACCCATGTGATTTAATTCCACCTTGCAGCTGTCCAAAATATCTGGCAGTTCCTGGGCAGAGGGAATGCCAGGCTCAGAGCATTCCTGGGCTGATGGGGTTTGACCATCTTCAGGCGCTGACCCCTGTGGTGGCTACATGCAGATTTAGGCAGGGGGGAGCCTGCTGGATGCTGCTGCTGCAGAATCCACAGGGCACTTGTTTTGCTGAAGTGTGCTTTTTGCTGCCACTTGATGTTCCCAAGCAGGTGGCTGTCTCTAAATACGGCGTGCGCCTTGACACCTCCCTGGGTTAGCTCAGCGCTATATCGCTGATGAAACGGGGAACAGCCACAAAAATGAAAAGTCTGCAATAAGAGAATCTTACGCAAAAAACCTGCTACTCCCCTCCCTACAGAAGCGATATTGCTGTGCTTGCAAGTGCAGAGCTCTCTCCATGAAGGGAATGTTGGTCAATCCAACAGGAATGCAGTCCCAAATGCCTCATGTGACCCAGTTCTAATAATAAGCTACCAGGAAAGAGGGGACAGCTCATTTTAGGGAGGAGTTCAAAATAAAGACCATGAAAGCAGCTGTCCTGGGCCTCACCAAAGGTCTATCGAGCCCACTATCTTGCATCTGACTGTGGCTGTATGTGGATACCTACAGAAAATAAGAACACACAGGCATGAATTATACTGCTTTCTTATGCTCTTCCAGCTGGCTGCAGCTCATGAGCTTCCAGATCTGGGTGGAGTTTCTAAGTATTTGGTGACCCCAAATGTATTTCTGTTCCATAAAGTTTTCCAGTTACCCCTTGAACATTTACAGGCTTTTACTTCTGCAGCATCCAGTGGCAAAGCTCTACACAGCTCACCTGAACTCCTTCCTCTTGTTTCAGACCTGGCTTCAACTGACTTCCTCTGATGCCCTCAGTTCTTGTACTGGAAAATAAAATTAAGGGAAGTTTCCACTGGAATTTTATTTAGCTCCCTTCAGGTGACACTGTGGTTTTGTGATTGCTTTAAGCAGATTTAAGTCGGCCAAAGCTGTAGCTGGGACAGTCCCCTTCACTGTGCTCTCTGCTCAGATGCACACTCACAGCCTCCACTGAGCTGGCACTAGCCCTCATGACCTGCTTGGTAAGGTGGCTCAGGAACTAGATCTAGTCAAAAATTGCTCTCAAAAGAACAAAAACATTGGTTTTCAGATCCTCTTCAGAGGAGGTCTAATTCGTCTTTCTGGCATAGTCCTTTCTTCTGGGAAGAGCTCATTCCTGAACTGTAGGTACTATGCTGTGGGCTTTGTCAGACGCATTCTTCAGATAAACACTAAAAAAAAGTTGAAAAGGGACAGAGAAATCAAGAACAGATTGAGAAAAGACACCATGACAAGGCAAGCCTGGGGCAGGAAGGCCTGCACACCTGCTTGTTTCAGAGGAGTTGGAAGGTAACCAGCTTCTGGTCAGGCTGGATCTCCAGGACTGACAGTTCCCACGGGCTCCTTGGAGGGTACGCAGGCACTGCTGCATGGGCCCAGGGCTCTGGGCAGCTCAGCAGGTACCCAGCTTACCTTTGGGTACTCAAATATCTTCCAAAATGGGGCCCTCCCTCAGTTAGGAGTTAACATTCAGGGCCTTTAATCTCCTGGGTTGTGTAGACCCTGTAGACAGATGTGCATTTTCTGAACGAAGTGCCACTGGTGAGGCAGTACTTTCCTTCTGTTTTGGTTCCTTAATCCAACTTGCTAAACCAATATTTGAAATACAAGTTTTCCCACTGATAGTGGGAAATAGTGAAATACTAATGTCACGTTACATCACAACCTGAACTATGGGTAGTGTAAGTGACAGATAAGCAGGTCTCTTCTCCTCCTAGCACATCACAGCAGACAATGTTTTATCCATTTTAAGACGTTACAGGACTAATTCTACTGCTTTTGCTTATATGGACTGGAATCTTTTTCCCTGAGCAGACCTGGAGCCAAAATTAAACTGTATATATGGAAGGGAGCAATACAGACAGGCAGGAAATATAGGCAACACTAACTCCACAGATTGAAAACACTTCTGTGATTTGCCAGTGCCCTTGAAAAGAGTTTCTAACTAATCCATTCCCTCCACTGGGGCAAGTAAGTCTTGCTATACAAGATCACTACTATGTCATTGGTGGCATGGATGCCGTACTGACTCAGCTTTGCTCTGTACTCCTCTCTTCTCTACCCCTGGTGAAACAATACTCTCCCAGGGTGAACAGTATCTCCGAGAGCAGGTACTAATTTACAACAGGAGCAGCTTTCACAGCTGTGGCTTTGTGGGACAGATGTTCAGGGGCATGCAAAGCATTATCCTGACGGGTGGTTCCATTAATCTTACTCACATGTGTCTAATTTTGCCCAGCCTAAAGCCATTAAAATGCATTATTTCACTCACATGAATTTCAGATTTTTCAATGCCACATCTTCAGAAGGTTTCCAGACTAAAACCTACTGTAATGTGAATGAAGAATAAATTATAATGAAATATTAACTCATAAATCCCTATTAACTCTAATGGAGAACTTCAAAGCAAACCCAGCTCCTCCTCCACCACTCTGCTCCTTTGTGAGGTATAAAGATTGTCCTAGCACTGTTGGGTTTTAAATGTGATATTCTATTTGATCTTTTTACACTACAATGTCTTCTCTTTCTCTTGTCAGTGGAGCTCTTTGACAAGATTTAGGAAAATCTGAACAGACAGTCAAATAGACCTCTGAAAAGATCTTAAATGTGCTTGTTTTGCAAAGCATTTGTGTACGTTGAAATAGGGAGGGATTTCTACATTCCCATAAGTGCTAGGCAGAATCAGCATTCATGTCATAACCTCTCCAAGAATTAAGGAGGGTAGGGGGTCTCATCATCACTATTTAAGTCTTGCAAATCTCTTCCAGCAGAGAGGAAAATTATCAGAACTGATGCCTCAAATGCAAACAAACAAGAAGAAATCTATTTACTTAATATGGCAGGGAAGGTTTATAAGGTCAGCTAATCAATAAATCAAACTGGTAGTAAAGGGCAAAAATAGATTTGATTATCACTTCATGGTTCACCAAAAGGCAACAAGCTAGTTTTCAGGCATTAACTTCAAATGCTCTTGCTGTAATAAAAATCACATTGGTTCAAGTACCGATTAACTGGCGATAGGAAAAGTGACATCCTCAAACCAGCTTAAAACTGATTTGTATCAATCAAGCCTAGCCATTGATGTAAGCTAACTAAGTTCCTATTTGGGGATGATTCAAAGCCACCTACACAGAACTGGTTTGGGATAATTTGGAGGGAGAGTGATGAGTGCAAGCTTACAAAATACTTTGAAAATCTGACGTCTTTTTTTAATGTCCTCAATGTACTACATAATATACATTGTCTTGCTGAAAACATAATTACACAAGAAAAGGTTTGTGGGTTTGCGGGCCCAGAAGCTGCAGAGAGCTGCATAGAAGTTTATTCTGCTGGTCTGGGTCTTCAGGCTGTCGCAGCTTTCTGTAGCACTGCAATATTTAGCAGACCCATGAAAGAGGAATGTTTGTGTAGCAGTGCCTGGGCTCTTAGGGAATTGTCCTCACCACATCACCAGGCCTGAAACACAAAAAGCTTTTCTTATGAGAACATGCACATGAGAACTATAACAAAATTGAGGAAGCTGGTTATGTTACACTCCCAAGTAAAGGGGACTCAAACATACTGTAGAGCTAGATGCAATTATTGAACTTGCCTCTGGCATTAGCACAAACTAGAAACAAACTCGGTCCATCTTAACCACTCCAGTGGAGTTGTCAGGTAGCACCATGCTAGGCACAGCAGCTCTGCAGAACACAGTGCCTATGGTGCTGATGTTGGCTGTGCTGGTCTTGGAAGAACTGAGCTATCAGAACGAATCCATTTACTGTTCTGTTGATTTTTTTCTTTGATGCATAATTTTCTTCATTTTTTTTTGAACATGCATTGATCATAGGAAGCTGTATATGCACAATGGCTATGAAGGCTGAAACTCAAAAAAGTGAATGTAAATGGGTTTGCCCTTTCAGCAGTCCTTCTTTTGCCGTAGCTGAACATCCAAATTTTGCAGGTGCTTCAGAAAGCCACGATTGGGTGAAATCCATCGATGTTCCTTCACTGTTTTGATGGCTTCAACCAATGGGAGGTGGTGATTTATCATGAGATAGGCTAGGACTAGGGTAGCTGACCTGCTTACTCCAACTGCACAATGTACCAAAATTTTAGCTGGTAAAAAAAAAAAAAAAAAAAAATTAGAACCATGATACAGACTGAGACAGCTCCATTAATGCAAGTTTACTCATGCTAAGAAATGGTCTTTTATGTAATATGAGTTAATTAGTATTTTATTGCACCAGTGCCAAGAAGCTCAATCTCTTGTGCAACACGCTATAAATCTCCTTGGGTAAAGGTAAAACTTCTCCTTGGGGGCACAGCCCTGGAGGGCCAGTTCACACAAGAAACTCATGTGCAACATATGAGCCTCTTCATGCAGTTGGTGGCTGTAGAAATCAAGACTTTGGTCTCTTTATTCATTTGCTCTTACAAACACAGTTGCCATAAGAAGGTCTCAAAAGAGGCTGGCCATTTTAAATGTATGTTTTTGCCTTTCCCTTTTTGAACTAATCTTTCCTTCCAGATATTTTTCTCTCTACTCTGCTTCCTTTGCATGCTGCCCACATCTCTCTCCTGCACTGTTCATCCATTTTCACACATCAACTTTTTGGGACTTAGTTAGAGCTGCACCCATGTACCCAGCACTCTCTCCTCTGCCACCCACTGTGCAGGTGGCCAGCAACTGGCAGGAGACAATGCAGTGACTTGTCCACCACTGAGCTTGTGGAGCTGACCTGTTATGAGAGGCAGCCAACTCGCATAAAAATACAGCAAAAGATAATTTCGTACCTCCTGGTGTGTTCAAGGCATTGTGGATAAACTGTGCCGCAGAGAAAAAGAACTGGCTTATATCAAAGCTTGGGAGGTCATGGGCTGGTACACCATAATAATCAATGGTCGCTCCGTAGAAGTCCTGGCCTCCATGGCTGTATGCTGTACCATGGGCAGCATTCAAAACGTGGGTCACACCCATCTTCCACAAAACAAATCTGTTGTGAGCTGTTACTCTAAGGAAAAGACAAACACAAACAAACTGAGATGGGCGCAGAGATATTCACAGAGCAGAAGCGCTGCGATTGCATCTCCTGAGCCATTTGCTGGAGCGTCAGCCCGTGCATTGCTTCTAAGGGCTAACCGAGAAGCAAGTACCAGCTTAGTCATAATTTTATCTTGGAAACCATGATGTCCACAGTGTAAATGACAGCAATTAGGAAAACTATGAGCTGTCTAAAGCCACACCGATGAGGCATACTAACAGATAGAGCGTATGGCGGAGGTGTGTCCATAAAGCTGTACTTACAGGTCCCCTAAGAAGAGATTAGGCCATACTTCATCGACATGGTTGCAAGAAGGCCGCCCAGTGTTGAGGAGCTGCTCAATTTCTTTAAGGGAGGGGACATCCCCCATGCATGTCCCAGTGCCTTCGGGTCTCCGGGAGCCCAGGGCCTCGGCCCCAGACATGGCAAGAGCCAGGGAAAGACCCCGCTGCCACGGGCCAGAGGCAGTGTGCTGTGCACTGGGGTGCTGCCAGCCCGCGGGCGATCATGGGGGAGGCCGGGAGATGGGCTGGGGCAGGTGTTGGGCAGCAGCTCCCGCTGCTGAGCCACGCCGTCCCTGTGCTGCGGCATCCCCAAATCCCTCCCCAGCACTGGCCGCTTGCCTCTGCATTGCTCTAGCAGTGTAAATGGATCCATATACCAAACCTGGCCTTACTGGTTCCTTACTGGTACCAGTCCGCTTCCCAGGACTCTGCTGCACAGCAGCCTCAGCATCGGGGGCAGCAGCCCCGTGTGGCAGCAGCCCCCTGCCTGCAGGACACCCACCAAGACATGGCCGTGACTGCCCTTGCAGCGTCCTCTGTGCGAGATCTGACCATTCATCACAAGCAGCTAAAGGCCCAATAACAAAAAAACAGAAACCTGTCCAGTGCAAGAGTGGCAGTTCTCTCCCAGTAACAACTGTCTCATGGTCACTTTGAGCTGCTTAAAAACATAGCTGCGAAAGGGTCAGAAATGCACCAGCGGGTCCTACCGAGATGGTCACTGGGAGGTTAAACACCAAGTGGGTGATGATGTCTTGCTTATCACCAATAATCTAGAGAAAAGTATTTCTTCAAGCTACTGTTTTTTCACCAAGTAAAATTATCTGAGCGTAGTTGTACATTATCTAACGTTTAATCTTTTTTACTGTAGTCACTGCTTTCATCAATGTGTTAATACAATACACCTGCCACATATTGTATGATACCTCCCTCTGTTGAAGAGAGAACAAAGAACTCCAGTATAATGGTTGTCAGGTGAAACTTACAAGCCACTGAGCTATTTTACATAGGAAGGTCTGGTGAGCCACAGGCTGGAGACCCATCATGTCAAACTGTAATATTAGTGGGCCCTTTCAAGTACAGCAGCACCTGTGCTTTTGGTCGGCGGCCTGCGTGACTCCTGGCAGGGGGCTGCAAAGCTGTCAGCGATGTAGATACAGGGCAAAACACATGAGATGCTCTTTGTAAGCCTGGCAGCTGACATGAAGAGCACAGTTTCTCTATGAAAGCAGTCCAGAAGAGAAGGTGACCAAAGAAGAGAAGTTTGCTGCTGATATTATCCCCTGTAGAAAAAGGGCAATGAATGGAAAGAAACCTTGGCCAGGTCTAAACAACCTTTATTCCACATGCATTGATTTACTATGATGGAGGGAGGGTTGGCTTTATTTTATTTTATCAGAGGGAAAAAGAAAGTGACTTTGTTTAGAGTCACTCAAGAAGCAGAAATTGTTAAAACTCTGTGGATTTAGAGAATAAACTGTTTAAGAGCCTCCTGTATGCAAAGAGACTGTTAGTTCCCATTGCCATGTATGTTCTGGGCTAAAAGGTGAAATAAGAGAAACTGTAAGCAACAGTGCTGCCGTGCTTATTTAGAGGGGGCAGTGGGACATGCAGCCAGGCTCTGCTGTGAGTGAGGCAATCAGCTGGCCAGATCCAGCAGCGGAGAGCTGCAAAACTGGTTAAAGTTATACTTAAAGCACGATGTATACATCCTTAATATGTTTTTATGTTTTCCTGGTTTGTTCTTCTTTTTTCCCTTTGGTAAACTAGTGCTTTTTAAGCTGATTGATTTGTGCTCATGAATGAGGAAAACTAACAGACTGAGCAGGTGAAGTTGTTTAATTTAGTTTACTTTTCTCAGGTTTCTAGGTGGAGACTTAAGCTGAGACTTTACTAGCAGGGTTTTTTAAAATGTAAGCCCAGCCCTTTTGTTGACAATCAAGTTCTGTCAGAAATGTGACTCTCAATTCTGGTCCTTTTCAGCTGTAAAACTTTTTTTGCTCTCTATCCCAAATGCACTGACTAAGAATTCAGAGTTCATCTGTGTCAGGAAAGCTTTTGAGCAGAAAAAAGAATGATCTCCAAGCCCTGTGTGCCTCCAGTATTTGTATGGCATACGTCCATTTGCTTCAAAACTCTGGCTTTCCACACCTAGGGTCTTCTAAACGTTTAATAATTTGTAAACATGACTTGGATAAAGCTGTGTTACTGACTTTTTTGCTAGGAGCTGCCTTTGAAATAGACAGGAGGCAGAAATCTGGCTTTCAGACCAGCTCTGTTATGCATTAACCCACAGGACATAACCTCACTAGAGTAAACAGGACCATCCCTTCCCGCCCCATGTCTCCCTTGCCTGCCATTCTGCCCACATCACGGGGCCCAGATGTCCCAGAATATACCTCTCCTTCAATGTATTTACACAGGATTTAGCCATCAGGTCTGTGGGTTGATCCAGGATGGTCAGGCTCTCCTCTACTGAGATATGCCTTGACATGAAAATCCCAGAAGCTGGAGATCCTTCTCAGCAGAAGGGCTGACTCCCTTAAGTGAAGCTGAAGGCTTTTTTTCATCATCCCCTTGCTCCAACAGTGCCTTATTTTGTCCTTGTGTTAATATTCAGGGAAAGGCCATGATTCTCTGACTTTGTGAAGAACTGTTGCATTCTGGTTTGCATGAAAGCAGCCTGGATGCAAATGCTAAAAAGCTATGGAAAGCATGGACTTGTTTTGTCCTCAGATTTGGCAGGACATTCCTTCCAGGTGTAACCTTTTGTCCAGATGGGTTTGGCCCTCCACAGCTTTGCTTCTTTCCTGGCCCCTTTGAAGCTACTAAGGATGGATGTAAAAAGCAAGAAACTGATACATGGCCACACTGAATAGAGGCAAAATCAGGTTTCAGTGCAGTAGAGACTTTTTGAGATTCCAAGCATTTGGACATTCTCCTGACTGCTGGAATGGCGGACAGCTCTAAGCCAGACATCTGTGTGCATATATGATCTTTAAATAGCTGCTGTTTCAGTTGAAATTAATGCATTATTAATTTTGGAACACTCAACAGAAGGCATCCTTTTAATCAGTGGATGATGTGTTTGTGATTACTTTGTAGGTAGTACCTGGTGCAATAATCTAAAGCAAACATTCCCTGGCTAATAACGTATTAGGTGGCAACAGTGTAAACTGTCATGGAGTGCTCTAGTAGCACGCAACATGGCATTGCCTGGAAAATGTCCAGTGGTTGAAAACAGGACATTCATGGAGGCTCTTCTATTGAAAATACTGATATCAGCACTAAACTGCTGCTGTCTGTGACACTCCTCCATCTCTTTAGTGAAAACTGAGCCAAAATCAAACTCCTTTCACATACCCTGAAAGAAAAATGTTCTTATAGTGAAAATGTTACAGCATGGAAGCTCAGCTAGCGCAAACAAACATGATTATACAGATACAGTCATCTCCAACTGCAAAAGATCTACTCATTTAACTCCTCAGGCTGTTTTCAGGATTTGATTTTCAGGATGGTTAGCTATTGAAGAAAATTGAACTAATTGAATTCTGGTACATTTAGGTTACCAAGTGAGACAGAGTTTTCTGGTGTTCTACAATACTAGTGTATTTTTAATGTATGGAACAATTGTGTGTGATTAGCACACGGAGTTTACTCTTCTTCCATTCCCCCCCCACCCTGCCCCAAGCTTATTTTCTGCCTTGAAAAATAATTATGTTTCACTAATTTGATTAGTTCTTAGACACTCAGTCTCTTTTTCTTCCATTATGGGAGTAAGAAATTTTAAGATAAAATAGATACTTTAAAGTACACACATGACTCATCTAAGTATGCTTCAACTCAAGTGCAGAGATTACAAAGAAATTATAAGGCAGGACCTGATCTATAAAAAAATGAGATTACCAAAAAACCCAACCCAAAACCCAGAAAAAGAAAAAAATCATTATTTAGATCAATTAGCACTTTTAGTGAAAGATCCTCTCCTTGGCACGTTGTATTCTTTGCTGGAAGAGAAATTTTGTAATTCATTCATTCTCTGTTCTGCTGGGGCCTCTCTTTCCTGCATACAGTCTTGAGATTTATTTGAGATAGATTATTTCAAATTATTAAATGCTAACAGTATTATTTAATGACAGCGTGTTTAAAAAACCCACAGAAACATTACATTAACACATCTCATTTTCCTCTGCTATATAATATATTGTAACTGGAGCTAGTTGTGAAACTTCAATATAAATTTCCTTTTTTTGTTGTTGTTTTAATTGTCAGCCTGAACATTGAATCAATATAACTATGTGAATTTAATAAACTGTTTTCAGTCTAAAGATGCACCCAATGTAATTACATATTTTAGACTTTTTTTCTTGGCAACCTGCAGTAGTTCAGTAGTTTTAAAAATATCAGTAGCATATAATTTGTCATAAGTTCTCAGACTGACATGTCAGCACTGGCACTGCCTCTCAAACTTACATCCATGCCTTCATGTCACATGGCATGAAGAGACATAACTCAAAGTGACGGAATGAGGTTTATTGGAAATTTCTGTTAAAGCACAAATTATTTAGATAATTCACCCTTTCAAAGAACATCAAATGTTAGCAAGGAGAAGTAGTTTTCAGCTTTGAAGTGCAGTGGCTAAGCAGCTATTACATGTCTACTTCCATGTAGGAGTTACAAGTTTTAAATTGTGCTCTTTATCACTTTTCTGTGCAAGCTAATTTGGTCATTTTCAAAATATGTTTCAGGTGATGAAACTAGGCAGAGTAGAAAAATGCCATTAGCAGTGATAACTTTAGATAGAAACCGATTGTAGAGCTTTCTCCAGTGCTGAGGTTGACAGATCGCTGCTGCAAACCAGCCCAGCAGCCCCCGTAGTCAGGCACTGGGCTATCTCCAGTGACACATGGTCAGGCTGGTACGTCTATCTTCACTTTTACTGTGGATGCGACTCTTGGCCAGGGGTTCACTGCATGGAAATCTGTTGTTGACATAATGTACCTCGGAGCCTGTAAACTTCAGATAGTCCTGGATTCATGTGTATATGTAACAATGGCTGATTTTCCAACCTGCACTTCTAAAGTCTGGAGACTGAATTTGGAAAGTCATTTGTAGGT